ATATATGTGTGTGTGTGTACATTAATTACCATTATGTTGGAAATATGAAGAACACACAATAATTTTTTTTTGAGACAGCTGGCCTGGAAATATGTAGACCAGGCTGGCCTTGAACTCAGAGACCCACCTGCCTCTGCCTAAGCCAGGTGTGGTGGCTCATACCTTTAATCTCAGCACTCTGGAAGCTGAAGCAAGAGATCACCCTGAGTTAGTTCAAGAACATCCTGGGCAACACAGTGAGTTCCAGACCAGTCTGGACTGCAAAGTGAGAGCCTGTCTCAAAAAACCAAACTAAAACTCAAACCAAAAATAAATGCATTATATTATAATAAGCCTATTACAGACATACAACTTCAGAGGTATTTTATACTGGGAATCCTTTTCATGTCCTTAGGCTATCGCCTGGTATACTCCAATTCACTGGAAGCAAGCTTGGGAGAAGTTAGAGACTGACACTGAATTCGAGAGATGTTCAGTCACCACCCCATCACTGCGAAGCCATATGTTTTGGTGGATGACATCTGTGACTTCCATAAGTAACGAAGGACAAGGTCTGCTGAAGAAAGAGTCCCCTAAGTGTCAGCTAGAAGTGGTCCAGCCTTCACTCACAAAGTAAAGGGTGCTTTGTTTTGCTTGGTGGTTGAGGATACCGCCCCCCTGTCCTCAGTAACAGAGCATGTGGGAATGACTGGGTGGCAGGTGTATGACACATAATCAGTAACCATGGCTCCCGTACAAAAAGCATGTGCATAGATCAGCAGATCTGAGCCTACAGGCTGTGCTGGCATCCATGATACAGAATCATGAGATCCTCTGGTTTCCTTTATTTTTCCTTAGCACTGTTTGAGGCAAGGCTGTTTCAGGCAGTAAAGAGGTGACATTTTTGCCATAACCTTAGTGGTGTTCAGGTGACGACAGAAGCGTACTAGGAATTTTTTATCCTCCAGCTAGCTGGGGACAGGTATGCAGAATTAAGCTCATTTGTAGGCAAATACTTCAGCTATGATAAATGCTGGCCTGGTTTCTTATTTGATTGCTGTGATAGACACTGACCAAAATCAACCTGTGGCAGGAAAGGGTTTATTTCATCTTACACTCACAGTCCATCATCAAGGGAAACCAGGGCAGGAGCTCAAGGCAGGAGACCATGGAGGAACATGCTCACTGGCCTGCTCCCTTGGGCCTGCTCAGCTACGTTTCTCATACAGCCCAGGACGATCAGCCTAGGGATGGCACCACCCACAGTGGGCTGGACCTTCCCCCCCACATCAGTTAGCAAAGAAGACAGTGCCTGACAGACGTGGCCCCAGGCCAGTTTGGTGGCAGAAATTCCTCATGTGAGGTTCCTCCTTCCCAAGTATGTCTAGATTTGGGTCAAGTTGACAACTATGAAAATGCTCTGCCTGTATGGTCTAGTAAAGCTGTTCTCTGTTGGTTTTTGAAACAGGCTTTCTACTTAACTGTACCTTGAATACTAATGCCACCACATAAAATGCCTTTAGGATTCAAGTTGGCCTTTTTCTTGTTACAGGGACATGGAAATCCCACCAACCATTTTCTCCAACTCCAGCCCTTGGTGTCGCAGTCCCTACACCCCTCCACATCCTTACTGTTCTCTGATTGAACCGTACTACTCAGATGTTTCTGAGAGCAACTTGAGGCCACAGCTCAAGTCTCAACCAACCAATCGTGACCCAGCCACAGGTAAGCCAAAAGCAGACATGCATATTGCAGAAGAGATTAAGGAATGGTGTGAGTTCATGTGTGTGTGGTGTGTGCGCACATGCTAAGTATTTAAAACTACTCACATCCACAGCAGGGCTGTGGCAGCTCTTTACCCTGTGGCAAGAACCTGAGGGAAACACTTGAAAGAGGAGATGCTTTGCCTCGTGGTTTCTGAGGTTTCAGCTCATGGTGGGCAAGGTCCATGTGGCTTTCCATCTCTTGGGAGCAACTCTATACATGGCAGAATGGGTGGTGGAGGAAAACTGTTCATCTTGAGGCAGCCAGGAGGCAGAATGGAGCAGTGTCAGGAAGTGGCCAGGGTAAGATGCAGCCACAAGGCCCCTCCAGTGACTGGCCTCTTTCATTCAGACCCCCACTGTATACAGTTCCACCATCTCCCATAGTCTATTCAGATTTTTTAATCCATCAATGGATTCATTCATTAATGAAGACAGACCAGACCCCTCCTGACCCACTCACATCCCAAAAATCTCACCTCTGAACACTGCTTGTACTGGGAACTAAGCCTTCAATATATGAAGCCTTTAGGGTACCCTTCATCTAAGCCATAATAAAGGCTATTAGAGCGCATATTATAAATTATTCCCTTATGGTTACCCTAGCATAGTAACTAACGTAGTTCTTGATAAGAATGTCTGCTACTGAATCAGTGAATTAAAAAAAAAAAAACTACCTGACCAGAAATAATATACACAATTCTTTTTGGTTTCATGTTTGGGGAGGTATATGTGTTTATTTTGATACAGGATTTCAGAATGTAGTGAAATTTGCTATGTACCCCAGACTCACTGAATTCACAGCAACTCTTCTGCCTCAGCCTCCCATTGTAATTCTTGAATCTTGGTGAAAAATATGTTTTGCTCTTTCATCAGGCATGAAAACCTGGTCATACAAGTTACACTGTGGCAAAATATCTCACATTCAAACACACTCCACTAGGAGTGCGTCATGATTCATATTTGAGACTCTGAAGACATACATCAACTTATGGTTTTCTCCAATGAATGATATCCCCAATCATTAATAATTCAAAGAAATTTAGTTTCAACTTTCCTGAAGCATTTTTCTGCTATGATAGCAACTCAACTTCATTATTCAGTAATGCTTTTGTGAATCACAAAGTATTTCACTTCCTATGTAAGTTCTGTAATGATAATCCCCAGAAGATAGATGCCCCAGTGCCTTTAGGGTCTCTCTTATACAACTTTCAATTTTTTTGTGCATGAAATTCTCAATATGGAAAGATAAATATACTTGAGAATTGTCAGAACTTTGATTTCTGATGCAAAGATGGTCACCAACAGACACGTTGTGCGTGATTGGTTGATGACTGGAAAAAGAAATCTCTGAACCACCTGCTTATTCCTTTTAAGAACTGGAATGTCTGATATCAGATGTCTATGACTGGCAGAGTATCAGTCATCAGGGTATGGATCAGTGGGTAACGTGCTTCCTATGCGAACCTGAGGACCTGAGGATGGGTCCCCAGTACCACATAAAAAGCTTAACATGGTGAGCACTGGAGGGTGGGGCCAGGCTAGTCACAGGGGCCAGCTGGCCAGCCAGTCAGTGAGCTCCAGGTTCAGTGGGGTACCCTGACTTGAATCAGTTGTGGAAGATACCTGACATCAACCTCTGGCCTCACAGACACACGCATGGGTAAGCACACTTGCTCATACACATGCACGTACATATACTTACACACACATGCACACACAAACCATATAAAAATACATATAGTAATGTCAGTCAGTAATATACCCAAAAATGTGTAAGTATTTATACAGGATGTTTTAAACAACAACAAAACCCAGCCTTTCCTGTGGAGTAGAAAGGCTGCTTACTGTCAGAGGGAATAGGAAGTAATCACTGAAGGATACTTCATGTTCAGTTAGCAAACAGTGGTTCTCAAATCAGGAACATTGGTGTAAAGGAAGAGTGTGTCACATTCTCTTTGAGGGCAAAAATGTTTCTCCTCTGTTGCTTTCCAATATTTTTATTGTGATACCAGACTAACTCCACGGCACTTTTTTAAAAGAAAAGGGCACACCAGCAAGGGCAGCATTTATGAGTCTCCCCTTACAGGTAAAATGTTCCAGTACTGGCCAAATAATGCAGTCCAAGGTGGTAGTCCTAATAACGAATTAACTAGGTGACATCATGACTGGATCTTTTACCTCCAAACATTTCAACACTACACAGCAAGTGCTGTAAATTGCCCTTTAGTTACAAAAGACTATAACCTCATTTGTGGAAATATTTGTCATTAACGATCCATTTCCTTACACAATTAAAAATGCTATTTCAGGAAGTCAGAGCATTCAGATGAAATTAACTAGGTGCTAAATATTTCAGCTTCAAATTACCCAAGAAATTGCCATCACCCTCCATAACATCTCTACTGCTGCATAAACATCTCACCCTGCATAAACATCTCTACTGCTGATAGGAATGCCATTAAATTTCAAGAACTTATGAATAAGGTCTATAAATATTTTCAGATCTCTAGCTCTTTGTTTCTTGAGAAACAGGCTTTCGGGGTATAGTTTGAACCCTTCAGCCTCAGGTAAGCGAGTCTGGAAGGACATATGTCAGACACTTTCAAGGTCTGCTTCATGCCAAATGAGAAGTGATGAGCTGCACTCT